CCTACATAAAAATTGCATTAGCACTAATAATACATATAAATTGCATTAGCACAATAATCTCCCCAACAAGTAAATCAGTTTTTTTCCAGGAAAAAATATTAGCATTAAAATTCACATTGTATACTCCTCTGATTCAAAGCCTACAGGTGAAGGAGGGTAGACGTGCACGCCCACTATTTACCATGTTTTGAAGCTCGAAACAGCATTTTTCTCCATAATCAAAAAAATATTTTCCAGGTACAAGGTTTAAATAGGAAATATCATTAATAATCATGTAAGAGAATTACAACACCAGTTCATTTGAACAGACAAATTATACACTTGAGCTTTATGCAGGCATTGGTACTTAGCATTTGTTTTTATTAAGACGAAGACATCAGAATCTGAATACACCAAACAAAAAGATGTTCTACTAAGATCTGAATATAACTCCGCTTGTGTGAGCTCACTTACATTGATGGTCCCAAGCCCCGATAAAGAAGGAGGGTTGACAAGGTTCAAGCAAAAACAACCTCTCTACACCATAAAGGTAGGGGTAAGGCTACATACATTTTACCCTCCTTAGATCCACTTGTGGGAATGAAATTATACAGGGTTTGTTACATTTTCTATTGTTGTATTAAGACTTGAACACTAAATAATTAAGATTGTTTATTTTACAAAAACATTTAAAAATAAGTTAATATAAAATTTAATAAAATACCAAATCAATCTAACGCTAAATCAATAAAAAAAAAATCATAAGATGGTTGGTGGTAGTGTTGGCTAGTGGTGGTGGTTGTGGGTGTCACTTAAGGATGGTGTTGGCTACTGGAGGTGTTGAGGGTAAGAGCTAGTGGTGGCAGGAAGTGGTGGTTAATGGTGATAGTTGGTGACGGTGGATGATAGTGATAGCTAATGATGGTTGCGAATGATTATGTTGGCTGTCTTATATATAATGGTGGCGGATAGTGGTGATTGTCTAACAGTGATAGTAGTTGATTGTAGTAATTGGCAGTCTGGTCGCAGTGGTGGTTGTGGGGGTGAGTGGTGGTAGTGGATAATGGTGAGCCAGCCCTATTGTCATTGAAACATGCATAATAAATAATCATTAACTATCCACCTTACAGGCCACTGAGATGTGAACCCAGAATCATGATGAATGGTATTAAGACATTTGGCGTTAGCAATACTAAAGAATACAATAGAGCATTGATTGCATTCTGAAAAAAGATACATAAAATACAATTATGAAAGGAAGCTTGTAGAGACAAAGCATCGATTGCATTCTGAATAAAGATATATAAAATACAATTATGTAAGGAAGCTTGTAGAGACAACTACTTACTCCCAAATGCTGATGATGAACTGCCAAAAGTTGGAGTAGTAGAAGCTCCAAATGCAGGTGAGGATGATGCACCAAAAACTGATGTAGACCCCAGAGGTGAAGAAGATTGGGGGGTTCCAAACACTCCAGTGGAAGTGCTACCAAAAAAGGAACCACTTGATTGAGAACCAAAAGGATTTGTACTGCCAAAAGGTTTGGGAGCAAATGGGTTATTACTTGTCTGCCCGAAAACTGATTGTGACCCAAATGGGCTAGAAGATGACTGCCCGAAAGCTGAAACAAACAGAAAACAGTCAGCAGTGAACATCCTCACTGTATAAGATAAGAGGGAAAATGAATACTAACAATTGCATCTTAGACGAGAAAATTTCAAAAACACAACACAAGTCGAAAAGAAATAACATTGTTTCTATGAAATGAAGCAAATAAATGGAAAAATGAGAGGGTGCATAGAGGCGTCGCGGAAAAGAGCAGCTATTGAAAATAAGAACGGGCAAGTCCTTTCTTAATCCTTTATTTCTTGTTAGGAGTACCAGTTTTAAACGAAAATATGAGTAAAGCTACGAGTCATGAGACTATCTTCAATAGAAGTTGTGGGGGGGGATAGATTTCAAGTATAAAAAAGATGTCGAGACAGACAGCTGCAAGTACTTACCATTTGTGGACCCAAACATGGTTTAATAGTCAAATCTTTCCCAGCAGTTGTTGGAGGGTCCAAAGTTAAGCTGCAAAAAGGACAGAGCGCGGAGATCATTCTCAATTGGTTGTTGAAGTAGAAATATACTTCTAAAGCAAATTCAACGAAACGGAAGTAAAAGATATTTTTTCCACTTACATATAATGCCTCTATGAATGAAAGAAATCCAATACACTAGGTATATGTATTATACCGCGAAATGAATAAAACAAGGAAACAATAAGAAGATCCATTTTAAGATAGTAAACCTTAAAACATCATGTGAATCAATGTAAAAAACAGTGCTTAAATACAACACTGCATCTATGGGCAGAAGTACAATTCTGGACCTGATTTTTTCCCCGCAATTAAGGCAAAAAAGAACCTGAATATGTCAAATTATCTATACAAGAACGTTGTATACATTATGGTGGAATGTGGATAAGGTAAAGGAGAAACAGAATCAAAATCGGAATAAAAAACCTAACTAGCTTAAGGCTCTACCTACTATGCCAAGGGGAGGTGTTGATGACCAACTGCTAAATGCTCGATTTAAATCTATAATCCCCAAAAATATCAATGAAAAGGTTGCAACAAACATGATATTCTTATTTAGGTTACTGTATGCTTATCATCCATTTGGCTACTCGTCATTTTAAAAAGTCCCTGGTTGAATGAAGTCACCAATAGCTTGATAATGGATGTACAGAAATTGATTTCCACATATATATGCCTCAGCCATAAAAATATGGGGAAATTAATTAATATAATTGTATACAACTTATTCACTGATACAAATTGTATTCGTTAATACAATTGTATTTATTGATACACATACATACTAATTACATATATACAAATGAAGTCATTGATACATATACTTTACATATAAACAAATACAATCTGCCTCTCTCCTCTCTCGCTCAACATGTAGCTACGAATTGTATTCGGCAAACTAAAGTCATTGTTGCCTCATTATATTTCAAATCTCTGGTGTCTTTGGAAGTTCCTCTAAAAATATCACATCAATTGATAAAGTAATGGAGAAACCGAATCGAAATCGAAATCGTAAGAGCTAGGGTTAAAGGCGCTACCTGAGATGTACAGGGAAGGTGTTGCCAGCCGACGGACGACTAGTTGCTCGGTTTCGATCTAAAAGCAGCAAAAATATCACCTGAAAAGGTCGCCGGAAGCTAGCGTTTGTGCAACTTCGGCGGAGTTAAGAGTGTGTTTTGGTCGGTAAAAGACCTATCAAAAAGGTCTCCGTAACATACAAATAGGCAACGTAGCTTTTAAACAACGCTAATTATTGACGGTTCGGTTAATGGGCTCAGACCCGCCCGCCCGCCTAGCATAAAACTATTTGTATCCAAATAAGGATCCGAATACTGTCATAAATTAGGAATTCTAATTTTTTATTTATTTATTTGTATTTTTTAAAACTTAAAAATGAATATTTAAACGTAAATTTCTTTTTCTTTGAACACGAAAAAATATTTAAATTAAGTCAATTCAAATATGCTCAAAATTAAGGAGAAAAATATGAATAGCCAATTTTATAATATATATATATATATAACTTATAACGAGATGTTGTCAAATTCAAATCCTATTGATTCAAGTTCTGATATTATCCCAAACATGCAGCTGATAGAAAGTGTGAAACACATTGAATTTATGCCCATTAATGGAGATTATGGTGAAGCATACAAATTTGAGAAAGTTAAAAACGGATATTTCATATATGCGTACATAGCACTTTACACTTCAATTAGTGAGTGAAAATACTGCATGTTATTAACACCATTTTTCATGATCATTATCTAAATCTTTAACTCAAAACTACATTTTCTTTATCCTAAACATTTGGAATACTTTTAACATGTTATCTAATTTATTTTACTTTCCTTTATAGTTTTTTTTTTTAATTTTTAAATATCATTTTTTTTCAATTCGTTAATTTGAACTTTCGACATAACAATTGTTTAAGATAACAAATTTAAAGAACATTTTAATACTTTGAACATATTATTAAGAGTAACTCCATCTTCAAGATATTGTTCTTTCCTCTTCTCTACGAAAATGATAACCAACTACTCCTACGAAAATTATAACCAACCTACACAAACTCAGGATAATTGTATCACTTTGTGTTCAATGATGTAAAATATTAAGCGGATTTAGACAATTCACAATTGATTAAAAAATAAACAAGGTTAAAGCCTAAACAAGACTTGAAATTCATAATGCCAACATAAGCACTATCATAATGTAAATTTCTGAAGAAGGAAAAAGCATTGTTCCACTGTTTCTAACTCCATTAAATAGAGAGAAAAGACATTTGAGTAGAGGCTAGTCCTCAATGCGTAAATATGGCTAGAAATTCACACAGATACACACGTCTCAACCAACACAAGATTGTAAAAATACTCCTCGAATGTAAAGCAAAGTTACATTCTTTAGCTTGCCACGACAAGAAACGACTTGCTTCAAGCCACATCTTTGACATCGAGGGTATTTAAAAAAGAAAAGGAATTATATACATTTTCAGCACGATTGTTCCGCACGTATCTTGTGAACTCTATCAACGCTCAGACAGCACTTGTTTGTCTCCACATTGGAATGTAAGAAGCCAAATGACACTTTGTTGAAAAACTTGATAAACCCTCCCTGTCATGCTTATTTTTGTCTAAATTCAGTTAATTGCAGCACAGGCTAGTCCTCATTAGCATGCTAACCTGTATCCTGGAAACACAACTCAGGAAGAAGATGAATTGTGCTGTCACCAGCAAAATTTCAAAAATCACATATAGAAGTCCAGACATCGTAAAATCATCTTTGATTAGGAGGGAGTTGGCTGATCACAACATCTTTGATCTTCCAAGTTTTAAAAGTTCGACTGGTAGTTCAAAATTTCACCCATGAACATCCTAGATTCTGCAAAATATTCTCAGCACCAATTATGCAAGCAAGAACTGAGACCTCCATTTACTGCACAAACACCAAGTAACATATGAGAGAAGTCCTATAGTACAGACCATGCACTATGTATAACACAGTAGATATACCTCGAATAGAGCCATCCTCCAATCTCATACACCACAACTCTCCAAAGCCATACTTAAGACTTGGTATTTACATTATATGCTTGATATGGTCTCAATTCAATAATTGAACCCACCTGCAAAGAAGAAGGCAGGAAGAAGAAATATTTTAGTTTGACATCTAAATGACAATGACCATTTTACTACATTCACAGGAGTATAAATAGCATTGATATCTATTAAGTTACGAAATGCCAGACAACTTCAGAAAATCTGTTTTATCTTTTTTATCTGATTTTGTTGTCTACCCAAGAAACTGTTTATATAAGTTTATAGATTACTTACATATTACAGCATTATTAAAAATCCCAGCACGCTCTAGACAACATGAGCCAGGTTCTTCCCTAATCCCACACCAGCAACTGATTCATCCTTACAATTACCGCTTGTATTCATAGTCTTACTAAGACATCTGCACCTAAGACAAATGAACTTGGCAGGAACAGCATCCAAGTCGGGGATACCGGCACATCTGGTGTGCTGCCAAACACTGCATACATCACAAGCTAACATCCTCTCCCCGTCATCATCCTTTGCTCCACAGAAGCAATCTACAGTCCATCTCTCCATTCCTCTTTCCATTCTATACTTACTCAGCCCATTTTTCCCCAGGAATTTTCCTCTGACTGTAACAAATTCAGCAGATCCTAGAAGGAGTTTGACCTGAGTAGATTCATTCACACCACCATATCCAACTAGCTCATCAGCTTGGAATCTTCTGAACATCAAGTATACATCTTGAAATGTCCTTGATGCCTCTGCCTTCAAGTCAGAAATGGTAGCATCCGAGGGGAGAATTAATAATTCCGGAGGAGGGTTTCTGGAATGTACATCAGATTGTTCCATGATGTCCACCTCACATAGCACTTGGATTGCATCTGATTTTGGGATAGGCAAGAATCTTTCAGGCTGATATACCTTCAAAAATTGCTTGCAATCAAGAACAGTAGTAGCAGAGTCAACTGCCACTTCCCTTTTGATTAAGGGAACATGATTAGACATTGTTGATGGGTTTAGCATGCAATCGTACAAGTACTTCAGATCTCGACGCAGATGTTCCTCAGATGGGAGGTTCGGAGTACAAGGCAATCCATTCTCATTTATATTCACATTGACCATTGGGTTGCAACGCTCAATTCTGCATCAAGTCAGAGAAAATTCAGTGAGAAAGCAAAAAAAACTATAACGCACACAATGTGACTTATACAAAATTGTAAATATGGAGTTCTCAAAGAAGAATGGATTTACTGACTTATACTCCATAGCACCAGAACCAGAAACGCTGCGGGAATTGACAACCAGTCCGTCAGCTGCCTGCTTTCCATGGAGTGCCTTTAGGCAATAATCAAGGAGTTCAGGAGGACCAGCTTTACACACAGCACCTCTAAGAGCACGCCAGCTCACCCAATTGGGCCCAGAGACAGCCCGTAGTACTCTAAACATTGCTTCTTCAACACGTAAAATGTCAGTACTGGTCCATGCACATAAGACCTTGGAGTTGCAAGTTTTACGCTTCTTACAAGTGGCCTCATCAGCTCCTGAGCCAGGTTTATGGGCATCACGGATTGAACTAGTTAAGAAAAGAAAAAGATCTCTAATATTTACAAGTTCACTATCTGACAAGGACTGATAAAATGAAATCAAGTCCTGCAGACGAGTGCGAGGCTTCCGTCCTTGAGATAGAAAGATGGTCAAGGGCAGAGAAGAAAGGTTCTCTACAGCTTGTCTATAAGAATCTTGAGTCAGAGCAAAACTACCAGCGCCAAACTGATAACCCCATTTACCATACCATGGGTGACCTTTTGTGATGGCATGCAATAGGCGTAATTCCAAACCATACTTCTTTGAAACATCCATCACGCTGATTTTTCTGATCATACAGAAATACACGACTAAATCATCAAATATAGCTCATTGGAGAACCAAACTATAGAATATTGCCTTCAGTACTTGGGGTAACATGTCAAATTTTATTATTCCAACGACATAACATCTAATACAAATTATGCTTACCTTGCTCCAAGGACTTTACAGAGCCTATCCCAGAAATTCATTATATGACTTCCAGAAAGCACCCTGGATCCACCTTCTCTACCGTTTACCCTGAGAAGATGTCCATAGCCATTGGAATGAATCACACCATGCAGAAGATGACTGGTATCCTCTAACTGATGATACATCCAATCTTCAACATCTTCTGCGGTCATGACATGATTGCATGACTTGCACCTGACAACAAATTAATGTATTTAGCCCCACATTTTTCAATAAAACAAAGATCAAGATACACAATAAAAAAGTTCACAGCCATTGGCAAGAGGATTTAAAGCAACCTTGAAGCTGCAGACCAGATCCACAAATTATCTCAATTACCCAACATGTTTCCTAAATGACTAAATCATATTACAAAATTCAATGGAAACACATGAAGGATGGTAAAGAGGGAACATTTAGCATATGAATACCATGACATATGAAGCAACACCAAAAAGGAAAAAGAACAATTTCAACTTAAACAAGAAAACTCAAAGGGAAAGTGTATAAATTCTTACCTAGCCTCGGATAGGTGAAGGGCTTCACCACACCCAGCACAGGATTTGTTATAACCCCCAACTGAGTTTCCATCAGCCTTAATAATAAAATGGAAACGCTTTGCACAAACTGGATTACTGCTCCAACCTATAAACCAACAAGAATAAGAGAAGAACACAATTCAACCAAATATTTCAATTCTTCAATTTGCTTCCAAACTACAAAAGATATTATCAAATATATGTCAACTTCATCTATAAAAATTGTGATGTACTTCTATATTGGTGATTACTCTGTAAAACTTTATAATTAGATTAATGACTAGTTCTCGAAAAACAAGCTATCTCAATCCTCTAAACATACCTCAACTTCATCTCAACCTCGTACCCCCCATCCCAACCACGCCACAGCTCCCATCAATACTTATCCAGATTATATACAAATGCTTTAGAATAATATTTTTTGCTTAGGTACGCAAGAAAAAAGCTTAATTTTTTCCCATACTACAATTTTCACAAACGTCGTCATCATGCCACATCATCATACAATTGCTCAAGTCAAGGCAATTTGGTCAAAGACAAAATAAAAGAACGTGCCTAACAAGTAGAATGAGGCTCACATCCTACAAAAATTACGTAATTGTCCGCTATACAAGTGACACTTTCAAGTCGTTTTCCTCCCTTCATCCAGGAAGGTTATATCTGTAAATTCAACAGAAAAGACTTTGGGAACTGACTGTAGCAATTATCAATTTTCATCAACTCAGAAGGACCCACACTTAATTGGACCCCACGTTTTTAATTAATTAATTAATATTTTTTACTTGTTAATTAAGAAAAGGATCAATGTGAGCTGGCGCTGTTTTAGCTCAGTTTTTAGTAGATTTTGTTTCTAACAGAAAGTCTGAGTGACAACTGGACGGTTCAGATTTATCGAGTCCATCGAACGTAACGGAAGTCCGGCGAACACCTCCAAAATTAGTATGAACAGATTTAATTTATCGGTGGGAAAACTCACCAACGACTCGGCACTGGTCGCAATAAACGGATCTACATCTGGCGACGTCTTCTTCGATTACATCGAGGCAGACAACAGGTGGAGAAGAGTCACCGTTGCCGTTACAGTCGCCGTCAGTGAGATCTCCGACGCGGAAGAGGATCTGCCACGTCAGAAGGTGAGGAAACAACGAAGAAGGCGGCGGCAAAAGCGCATGTTTCGATAAAAACTCCTTCACCGTCGTCCTGAACGGTCCCGTACCGGCGGTATTACCGTCGTCGGGGAAGGTAAGGAAGTCGTTGAGGTCTGCCGTGACTCTCCTCTTCAACCTCTTCATCGGCCTACCATTCACTACCATACCTCCTTTAAACTGATCTCGGCGCGTATCACCCAGATCTCGGCGCGTGAGGTCGGAAATCTCAATCCTCGTCACAGATCTGAACCGAATACTCCCAGATCGGACGTCTACTATCCTATCAATAAACAAAATTCCACAGAGAAGAGATGCAGAGAGGATGAGGGAAAGAGGAGTTGTATTGTTGAGAGGGAAAGAGGAAAAGAAGAGGAGAGGAGGGAAAAAGTCTTGAAGAACGTTTATTTCGGAGTGAGAAATTAGGGTTTGGTAAAATTTTTGGGGCTTTTCTGTACTTTTATATTATTTTATTTTCTCCAAATTCTTTTATATTTAGAGAAAAAATAATAATTTTAAAGTCGGTTTAGCAAAGTTAAAGGGATTAAGGAATACGGATGGATAAGAGTGAAATAATAAATATTTTTAATACTATAAATAAGATTAAGTATTATGAATTGACTGAAATACCCTTGAAGGGTAATTGGAGGGACATTTGAGGAAAGGTTCAAGAACTTTGGTGGTTGGGAAAATCGTAATTAAATTGTCTTTTGATAGTGATATTTAATAAATACTATGTGTTTTTTTCTTGTTAAGGAAGATAGAGATTGATATTAAATGACAGGTATGCCCTTGGAATTTGAATGGTGAATGAATGTGTGAAATTTTGGTGGGGGTTATATACCGATGTACGGTAGATATCAAATTAAAAACTTTTAATATTGTGATTTTGATATCATGAAAAAGTACCTAAATGTTCCTTTTAAAATCATCTTTTCTCCAATATCCAAAATATGTATATATATTGGTTTTTTGATAAAATTTTTAGTTAAATTGTGCTAGCTAAATTACGACTCTTTATTTATTCAAATAAACTTTAGATATATTTAAATATTATTTTATTTATTTATGAAAAAAATTATCTAATTAGACAAATTTTCTTACCATATTATTAAAATTTTATTATATTTTAAAATAATTACATAATCTCCCGTTCTTTCTCTTCCCCTTTCTCTCCCGCTTTCCCTATGACACCTTTTTTTTTTGGATATGTAATTGGTACCAAAAAGTCACAAAAGGACACCTAATTAAGGTATAGTTATAGCTTCATTATTTTTTAAATTATACAATTATACATAAATATATTGAATACATTTATGTATATACATATTATGTACATTACATTAAATATATCAATACCTTCTCGAAACTATGTATATATTATATCTAGAACTTAAATAAAATATATAATTATCGAAACTATCAATATACAAAAAAATCTATATATAATAATATATTAACTCAACTCATTTTGATCGATCCAAATTCACCTCAAACCGTTCATTTGCCACCCTATACACCCGTCCTAGAAAGTAGGAACTAGGAAGCATCACCTACACAACACATTTTGAGCTCACCTTGTTTTTGCCAATTCGCTGTCACGAGCCTATCACGTGCTCCAAGACCCCTACACATACTTGAAACAAATTTCCCAATTCTTCTAATCTCCGTCTATTCTACCTCTGCAAATTCTTCACCATTTTTTGGAGGGCAGAAATGTCTCAATCCCTCGCTTCCCCTTTGATTCGCAGCATTGGATCCACTTCAGTCGGGAACTCACTGTTGCCGAATCATCGGCCACCGTTTACATTACCGGTCATTCCTCACCGGCAACTCCTGCTTCCAAATTTACAGTTATCCGTCAGTAAATTGAGGAGTTTTGAAGCTCATGCATTTGATCTCAAAGGTAACCAAGGGTATGTATGTATATATCTCTTACTCCATCAGTCCCAGTTTATCTGAAGTATTTGATTAGGCAGGGAGTTTATGGATAAAAAGAAAGACCTTTTAAGTTTGTGATCTTAATTAATCTATATATGTGTCTGTGTGTATGTATATATATATTGTATGGCTGTAAATATCTAGTAAAATGGGAAATTTAAAGTTAAAGTGTTATTAAATATAGAAATGTGATTTGGTAAAGTGAGAATTTTGAAGTCAAATTGTTACGGAATATAGAAAGGTGTCTAAGGAGATCTCATAAAATGGCAAGTTTGAAGTCGAACTGTTACTGAATATAGAAGGGTGTCTCAAGGTGATCTGTAAAATGGCAAGTTTGAAGTCAAATTGTTAGTGAATATTGGAAGGTGTCTCAGGGTGATCTCGAAAATGGCAGTTTGAAGTCAAAACTTTTACCGAATAGGGAAAGGTGTCTTTAGTGTGATCTCGTAAAATTGCAAGTTATTGTTACTGAAAAGGGAAAGGTGTCTCAAGGTGATCTCGTAAAATGGCAAGTTATTGTTACTGAATATAGAAAGGTGTCTCAAGGTGGTCTCGTAAAATGGGAAGTTTGAAATCAAATTGTTATTGAATATAGAAAGATGTCTTAGGGTGATCTCGTAAAAGGGGAAGTTTGAAATCAAATTGTTATCGAATATAGAAAGGTGTCAGGGTGATCTCGTAAAATGGGAAGTTTGAAATCAAATTGTTACTGAATATAAAAAGGTGTCAGGGTGATCTCGTAAAATGGGAAGTTTGAAATCAAATTGTTACTGAATATAGAAAGGTGTCTCGGGTAGCAACTTATAGTTCCATTAAAATTCATCCGATGTGACAAAACATAGTCCCGATCATGCTTTGGATGAAGGATGGGGGTTGTCTAGGTTGACGATTAGGGTAAATCAGTCTAATTATGATCAAATTCTCTGAATATTGAATTTATTGGCATGTGTCCACTAGACTTTGACTGAATAGGCAGAGCACTTATGTAGTTGGTTTTAACTAGTTTGAGCTTTAGATATAGTTGATTGATTGGTTTTACTGTAGCTTCTGTTAGGTTTGAACTTGATTAGAACCTATGTTTTCTCCATCTTAATGAAGGGTTTGTGCATTTTCAATTTCTACAATTGAGGGCAAATGATTGATTCAATTTAATGTATTTTTCCTTTCAGATTTCTGGAAAAAGTTTATTTTGGGAAGAAAAATGGAAAATCCTTGATTCTTGTTGTGTCAAGTGTTATATAGGATTCACCTTTCTTGTAGTTTCATTTTAAGTTTCAGCAAGAATTGATGTTTTTAGTTTGCTCATTGACATAGTCTATTTTTTCCTATTTACATGAGCTTACCTTTTGCTCTTGCTATGCAGAATGGCTGAGTTTCATGAAGTTGAACTCAAAGTCCGGGACTATGAATTGGATCAGTATGGTGTTGTAAACAATGCTACTTATGCAAGTTATTGCCAACATGGTAAGGTTTATGGTTTTGATCTGTACTTCAGTTTACAACTACCATATCATACATGTGTTTTCATTCATAAAAAAAACTGCGCTTTTCCCTTTTGATGAAAAAAGATTTATTCAAGGGAGAAAATTTTTCTGGCAACTGTTATGAGTAGAAAACTAGAAATTACTGTAAAAGGATCTTCTGTATCTGTTCTATGTTACTTCTTTGTGACCCTATAGTTAGATCATCTGTTACCCTTGTTTATGGAATGCGTTTTCTCTCTCAATAACTTGAGATGATGTCATCCAAATTTTGGATAATGAATATGATTTCCTTTGCTCTGCTTATTACTAGAACATATTGAATACCAAATTTGAAGGGAACTTATGTGGTCAATGACTGTTTGAATCTTGCGTTTACACATACTAAAGATAAAGCCAATATCCAATTTGTATGTGAACATAATTGATTGCCAAATAGTTGTTCGGCCAGAACTTTGCTCAGTTAGTAGCTCTCTTTCCGAATTAGAGATAATTTTAAGTTAATAATATGTCTATCCTAATCAAAAAAGAAGTTAATAATATGTCTATTCAAATGTTGTTAAGTAATTGTCATGGATCATTACCTGAATACCCGTGATACTGAACCAAGGATAATACAAATTCAAGTCTTTCCAATGTAAGAAGGCCTGTTACGTTGTGCATGACCTATGTATACAAATTGAGTTTCTTAATAATCAATATAAATTTCTGTTTAAAATTCTGTAAATTTATATCAGATCTTTCTAGTTCCTCCACTATTATTGATTACATCCTTGCTTTGTTCCACTAACCCTTTTCCTTCTCATGGGAAAAAAGAAATGGGAAAAAGGGAAAGCAGGAACTTAAATTTTAATTGAAGGGTACTGACAAGATCATTACTTTAAATGACTTAAATTAGCTCTATGTGTATGTCAAGATCAATACTTTGAGGGATTTAAACTTGCCTTATAAAGAAAGTATTAAACTAACAACTGCAGAGTTTCTCATGCTAAATTCCAAAAATGGAGCCAGTATACTACTGTTATTACAAATTTTGGCGTATGGATTTTAGCTAGAACAGACAGAGTTCACTGGAATCTGTAGGTGAAAAAATAAGATCCTTCAGAATCTTGAGTTCAAAGCTTAAAGTAATTGAACAGTTACTTGTTCATAATGTTAGTATATGATCAGACAATCTGGTGGATTATTTGGAAAGAGAGAAACTAGAGATTTTTGAAGGCAAAAAGGAGAATGTCACTAGTCTTGATAATTGTACTTCTTTGCTTTCATTTTGGAGCAACAAGGCAAACATACATTATACTCATGATGTGGAAGGCCATGGTTGACTTTATTTAGCTCACTACACAGTTAATGATGACTACCTTTGATGTGTTCTGTTCTCTATAACAGCATACACTTGATGTATGTTACATTTATAAAACTTTACCTTATCAAAGAAAAAAAATCGAATATGATCAGGACCTTTGACCTAAAAGAACAGTTAAAAGAAAAATAATCACAGTTTAGCCATCCAGTTAAATAGAAACTAATAAGAGATAACCCAGTGTCACATTGCTAGAGGCAAACAATTATATTTAGATAACTTAAGAACAGATCATGGAACTCCAAAAGGTGATAGTTGTTTTAGTTGATTATTATGAGCGGATAGAGTTCGAGAAAGTTATACTTCTGTATAGTTCTTTTTTTTACTGATTATTTTCACACTTTTAATAAGTACTCTTTCCAACTCAAATTAAGTGACTAATTTGATGGCACATGAGTGTTATGGCAACTATTGCAGTTTTATAGTATTTTGTGGAAGTGAGGCAAAAGTGGAGCTAGGTTTAATCTTTTAATGGTTTGAACTTTGTATGCGCAGAAAGGTCTAACCTTTTTCATGATATAGTAAAAACAAATTGATGAGTATGGAGAAAATGGATATTCTTGAAACAATTTGATATTTTTTGGATAATCCAGAAGGTGGTTTTCACCTCAAGTAAAGTTGTCCGTTTCGAAAAGTAGCTAATTTTTACTGCTTCAAAAAATAGCACTAAGCTTGTATTGCATTTTGCATATATACATGGCGCGTTACTAAACCTCTGCTTCCTCAGTACTATCTACTGAAAAACTGAGCAATTCTATCATATTTTCTGTATCATATAATATCATTTCTACACCAGAAAGAAGAGAAAGAAATCTTAAATTTAAGCTTGTAAATGCTTTCTGAGTTGCTCTTAAAAATTCTTTACTCCTTTCTGTCCAAAACACCTACCAGATGCAAACTGGCACTGTGTCACATATTCTTGTTCTATGCCAAGTCCTTTGCTTTCCAATACTATAGTAGGTTCTTCACTGTTTTGGTATAGTCTATTGCATATTAAAAATGCTTAGGAGGAACTTCCGTAGCTGTGAGGCCATTGAGAAGCGTAGAAACTAGAAACATATAATTTTTATCTTCTGCCCCCTCCTTGCAGGGTAACATATCGCAGAAAGCATCATTCCCGTTTTCTGCAATTTGTGTTAAGTTAGGCCAGTAGCACGTGCAATATCCAGATGAAGCACGCAACAATTTCTTGTGCTTTTGCTTTCCATAATCTCCTCCATGGCCAAAAGGGTTGTGATGTACTTCACAGCAAAGTTCACTCTGTTGTGTGGTGTCCAAGTTAGAGAATTTGGTTCATTTGACAATTGTTGTGGCTCCCAGTTCTTGTAACTATTGGGTTTCTCTTTCCAGATCCTCATCTACGAGAGGGAAGGCATTCATCCATTACATCTGATCAAGAAAAAAAGTTAGCTGTTGTGTGTTTGGTATGAAGGAAAATGTTTTCCTAGAAAATATTTTCTTGGAAAAAGTAGATTTCTTACTTATTTTCTAGTGTTTGGTAAGTAGGTAAAAAAATATTATCTCAAAAATATTTATATGTAATCTAGCAAAATATTATGGGGGTGAGATTGGGCGGGGTGGGGTTTCAAGGATAGTGGGGGTTGGGGGTGCTGGGTGAGTAGGGAAGAGACAATAAACTTGAAATGCCACTTTTGAAGCTTGTTTTCTCTACTTCCATTAATGAAGTCATTTTTCCTCATTTTTAAGGAAAATATTTTCCAAAGCATTTGACCAGCCAAACATGAGAAAATTGAAAAATATTTTCCTTTCATACCAAACACCCAAGTAGTTATCAATATGAAGTTATTCTGGGATTGTTGCCCTAGTCTCCTTCTGTAGAAGGACCTACCTCATTGTCTATTACATAATACTGGATATTGTAGTCCATATCAAAGACTTACAAATGATAATATATAACCTATCTTGTTCGTTATGACTTATTTTCAATAAATGAAACAGGTCGTCATGAGCTTCTAGAAAGGATTGGTATAAGTGCTGATGAAGTGGCACGCAGTGGTGATGCACTAGCACTAACAGAGCTGTCACTTAAGTATCTAGCACCTCTAAGGGTATGACCCTCATCTAAACATCATTAAGAACCAATTAATATGCAACCAGAAACTTTAGACCTTGGTTAAATGTCCTATTCAATTTAAATTTCGTGGCACAAAACTTTGCTTTTGAATTTGAATTATAGATCTTTGGAACATATTGAAATGAAGAAGGCTTAAAATGTTCAATTTCAAGTGTGAGAAGTTTGGATAAGCATAGTTAGAAGGGTAAGGTCAAATGGATGATGGGTCGGCCAATGAAGCTTTTTACAGCTGATTATAATGTGACACTCCCGTCTTTCCAAATTACTTGGGACAATGTCTTTGTTTATCTCTAATTACTTGACCTGTCTCTTGAGTAAGAAACTTTTACTTTACCATGAATTGGAGTCAGTACAAACAAATAGGTATTAGTTTACATTCTGTTAATCGTTATTTGGCATGCTTTCAATTGATTATTCTACAATTTTAATCAAACTATTATGTTAGAAATTTATCATCTGTCTCTAAGTTGACAATTTATTCAAACGAACCTTGTGTTCTGTACTATCAGACTCAGTCATTTACCTGGGGACATGAGCTTCTTTTTTCTGAACCATTTTTGGTTGCCTGAGGGAGAATTTCTGATCTATTTCTGTCGCTAAGTGATGCACAAATGTTATTCATTAGACTAAGAAATTGTGCTTCCAGCTTACTTGATCAGATATCTGTGAACTCCTCTGTCATGTTGCATTAATTCCCAAGAGCCTTACGCTTCTAACTTGCCTGAGGCAGCCTTGATTATCAAATATCTCAAAAGGCATAAAATACGACGTGGATTGAAAAGACTTCTGCAGCCAACAACTGCTTCTAGTATTTTTTTGAAACACACCATTGAACATTTGCAGCTGTGTACTTGGTGTTGCTACTCCAATTTATTTGACGTGCCTTTCTACCGGTCCCATTGGTTATCTTGACCTGGTATGATATTCTTTTGTCGAATTCAAATATTTTCTACCCTCACTCCAAATGTTACCATAAGAATGATAAAGAATAGAGGATCGGAGGGGAGTGCTTTTGACATTTGGCATAGTGTACTACATCTCAGTATTTACCTCGTCATGGACTGGAATTCTATCTGATCAGGAATTTTATCCTGTTAATGGTTCATGTATTTGTTAGTGTTGTCAACTGAATATAGTTTTTCAGATTAAAAATATTACCTTAGTAAACAGAACTGCTTGATCTCTTATAACTACAAACGTGAACACAACTGCTTGAAATTTGTGTTATCCTGCCTGTTCTCATTGCTTTCATCATTGGTTCAGAGTGGAGATAGATTCGTCGTGAAAGCACGAATATCTGATTCTTCAGCTGCTCGGTTGTTTTTCGAACACTTCATCTTCAAGCTTCCAGATCAAGAGGTCAGTTACCACTATTACCGCCGTTTTTTTTTTGGGGAGCAAAACCACTTGCATATCTTAATGTATTCTGTTACTACTTTTTTCCAGCCCATCTTAGAGGCAAGAGGAATAGCAGTGTGGCTTAATAAAAGTTACCGTCCTGTCCGAATTCCATCAGAGTTCAGAGCAAAATTTGTTCAGTTCCTTCGCCAGGAGGCATCTAACTAATGTGCTTGTCAACAAAATCCATAAGAGTTATTTTGATCAAAACATTTTCCTCTGAAGTGAAAATTTGGTCTATTTAGATACTGACCCAAAAGATCTAGCAATGTATGTATTTTGTTTGGTTAATAACACTCTTGCTCCCTCAATTCTTAATAATGTTAAATTTAGTCCTCGTCTCTCTACCTTCACAAGGTAAGGGGTAAAGTTAGGTGCACAACGCCCTCCTCATACCTCGCTTGTGGAATTACACTGGGTATGTTGTTGTAGTTTCTGAATTTAGTCCTTGTAATATCTAACCACATTTTTCTTCGATTAATTGAAATGTGTACTTTTAATCCCTTTACTTGTGAGTATTTACGAATTTACAATGATTATCAATTGCTCACCATTTAATTATTTACGTGGTATGTTAAGTTTGCATTGTTGCTCTAATTGCATAGTAATATAGTTTGAAAAATAATCCAAGTATAACACAGGACTGTCATAATTTGGTCAGCTGGCCAATTTTTATTGTGAATTAAACTACTTTGACTTATACAAATGGAAAAAGATCGATCATGAAGTTCTCTATTCCAATTTAGCTCTTCCAAATTTTAATGTTAAAAGTCAAGAATTATACCTTTTTTGGCTAATAAATTATTCTAGTCTAATTGTTCTTACTCAACCAAAGTTCAAAGTAATATATAAGGCTGAATAGATCAAAATTCTAACTTGATGAATTTTATTTGGTGCATATTTTGGTAATTTGATAGTTTTGACCTGTTGATTTGGCAAAGAAACCCTTGTTATATTATTTCGAAAGTTATTCTAATATGAATCCATAATAATTTAAAAAATTATGTATATACTTAATAATTCAGATACAAAATTCACGTTTTCTTTAATCCATATATAAAAACTAGAGATAGAACCGTGTCAAGGAAAAAATCAACTATCCACAAGCGATAAGTCTAACCATCTGATGAGTCACAAATGACTTATTTTTATAATTTCTCATTATACCAAAGAATCTCTTGAATATCTATATTCTTCATGTTTTATTCTTAACCAATTATGATCCTCCACGTCAATTACAACTAACCAAAAGTCTTATTTTATCTCTTAACCACCACCTTGTCCTTGTAGGATAAGGAAAGTCGATCTAGTGCACAAAGTATTCTTGTGTTAGTATGATTTAGAAAAAAACGATATTATTTATAGATCCGTGATAGTATGGTTTAGGAAAATGTAGCACAAAGACAATTTTATCGATAAAAATTGAGATTGTCACAATTCTCCATTATATATACCTCCCATTCCTTTCAATTTTCCAAACCAATTTCTATTCTAGTTTTCTTTCAAGCATTTTATCAAACAGTTTCTCTACACCTTTAAAGATTCATAACTATGATTAGCAATTTTGAATCTGATGTTAAATATCTACAGAACCCATCTTTGATTTCTCAATTCTTTTCTCTTTCGAATATCGAAAATGTTCCTGAAGTTTACAGTTTCTGGAAATGGGGTGCTCTGTTTTTCGCCATATTTGTTACATTTAGTACTTTATTTGGAAGAATTAAGTTTACATTCATTTACTTACGTAGAATTGAGCCTTCTGATGAGCCTATTCTTCAGTATCTTAGCGAAGACTTCGACTTTTCTGATGATGACGACGATGAATGCTCGTCCGTGTCTTCGAATGATGAAGAGATAATTACACCCAGAGGTGATCGAGATTTTTCTGTGGCGGGTGGGAAAAAGAGTATTTTAAGACTTATAAGGCGACGGAGCAGCTATGGACTGTTTCCGTTAACTGAATTTGTCGCCGGAAAAAATGTTGTAAAGCTCTGGGATTTGAATATTGAAGAAAAGATGAGTGAATTTCGGACGTTGCCATCGCCGTCGCCGGCGATGGTTTTTTGGTCCGAATTGAGAGATGAGAGGAACGGCGTTGTTTTAGCTGGTTACGACGCGAGAATGAGGCGTCAGTCGCCGGCGATATTTGCCGATTGGGGTACAGGAAAAGTGGTGGGTATCGGCGGTGTTGAGAAAGTGTACGTTAGAGATGAAGTCGCCGGAGTTGTAAAGGTTGGTGATATGAGGAAAGCGAAAACGCCGGTGGAAATGGTGACGGAGGTCGACGGTGGCATGTGGTGGAACGCCGGCGCCGTTATCGTTGACGATGACTTCGTTAGACATAAATTTATTTAGGTGCTAATTTATTTGGCGATTGATTTAACGATGAAATTTGTAATTAATTTTAATATTCTTTTTATAGCTAACTAAATTAGCTTATCATTAAAAAAAAATTGTATTATAGTTGATGGAAGAAAATCCTTCCTTCTAGTCTGTGCATATAATTACTTCGTAGTATCAAAATTAGATGAAATTTCATATGTAAATATTTTAATCTTTCTACATAAATTAGTGTTATATTAGGTTTAATACCTTGGATGCATATGATATAGAATTATTAAGATATGAGTTTATTGATCATTATCGATTAATTTATTAAGAAAAAATTTCAAATCGTTAAAAATTAATAACTCGATATAAAAAACTGTTATTAAAATCGCTAAACCAGTAACTATTACCAATAAGGCGATAAATCAACAATCTTTTAATTCAAATTATTAATTTCGGTTCGATTTTAAATAACTCTACTACTACCCACCATTTTATTGATTAGATGCTAAGAATTCTATCAAGATTTTATTTCGAATTAATTAGTATTTTTTAAAATCTAATTTGTATTATAATTGAAGGAATATTTCAATGAACGAGTCGTGACTTAACTTGCTCAACTGACTTGGATGGCATGAAAAAGATAAAAACACATTATTTAATTGGAATGTTTCCTACTTCTAAAAAAATGTTTATCAACACATGCTGAATAGTAGTTTATATAAGATACTATTTTTTGTATTTAAATGATAGATGAAAAATAATGTTGAGAGGTTAAAATGGAATAAGGTTGAGATTAAGTGTCAAAAAATAAAAATGAAAAGCAAATTAGAGGGATTACCTATTGTATTTGACTAGGGGCGGATCTATGTACAAGTCTTAGGGTGTCACGGCATCTAGACATCTCGATTGAAAATATGTATATATGTTTAAGAATGTGTATGTATACATATAAAGTCTGCCACGTCAGTAATAAGTAACTGTACAATGCCAATGATGAATACTGAAGACTCAAATTTCGAAATATTTAAGGGAGGCTTTATTGTTTTAAAAAAATTGTGGTTTAATAAAATCGAACATAACATCTCTCCTAACTAAAGACTCGCTCAAACCAACAAGTCAAAACTCTCGCTATGATGTAGGCGATATAAAACCTATTCATCTTATCTTTTGTAAATAGTGAAACCACACAACTATTCATAGGGTATGGTACTCGAAACTTGCAAATTTTAGATTCGCCTATGTATTTGACTTATTAAAAAAGGACCGTCCGATATACTAAATTTTCACTATATGCAAGATTTGGAAAAGATTAGAGATATATTATAGAGGAGTAATGCATGCAATCTTATCCTACATTTCTAAAAGAGGCTGTTTCCACAATTTGAACTCACGACCTCCTAATCACATGATAACAATTTTATCAGTTACATCAAGACTTTCCTTAGATTAGAGTGCAATATTCCACCCTTATCATCACTGTGTCTCTGAGATTTATAGTGAAAGCAATATTATGGGACATTCTCATATTCAACCCTTGAGTGACAGATCCTTCGAATTATGGACCCCGGATACTTGATGCCCTACTCTATTACATTATGCGACATCATCATCAATCATCCTTGAATTATGGACCCCAGATACTTGATGCCTTAGTTATGACTAGTGCATCAATCTTCACTTCTACCTCGACCTTATACATTACGTCATTGAACATAAACTCTAGGTACTCTGTCTTAGTTCTACTTAACCTGAAACCTCTAGATTCTAGGGCCTCTCTCCAAATCTCCCATGTATTATAACTCTACCATGCATTTCGTTGTACCAGGCAAACTAATCATATTTCGAAAAATGATTTCAAGTTCTCTAAAGACTATCGCTACAAAGAGGGCAAGTTGAACGAGACAGTCAAAAAGGCCTGTTACACCAATAATGGATTTGTAATTGAAAACATGAAGTATATCAATAAAAGATTGATCTATACCAATATCATGAAGGTGAAAAAGTTGTTGCAATTGATCTTAATAGGAACTTAACAAGTAAGTGAAGCAAATCATAAATGAAGAAGATAATTACAAGAATTATGATGACAAGAAGTATAATTGAATTTTTCTGAAGTTTTCAGCAAGAAGATAGATGAAAATGTGAAAAAACACAACTTTATGAATCTGTGTTCTTTCACATTTTTGATAGTAGGAAATGAACAATACCAATGGAAACAAACTCGAAAGATTCAGTTTTTTCTGAGAATTTTAGAAAAATGATTGATAAAAATGTGAAAGAACACACCTTTCATTAATTCTAACATGAAGTTGTGTTCTTTCACAAAAATGTCAGAATTAATGAAAGTTGTGTTCTTTCACCTTTTTATCAATCTTTTTTTTCAAGTCTCAGAAAGACTGAATCTTTTGAGTCTGTTTTCATTGGTGTTGTTCATTTCCTATTGTCACAAAGCAAAAAAAAAAAAAAAAAAAACAGAATCTTGGATGAGTTTTTCTTGTAGTTATTTTGAAGATATGATTTGGGGTCTTGTTAAAATTCATGAAGTTGTGTTCTTTCACATTTTCATCAAAATCTTCTTACTGAAAACTTCAAAAAATTCAATTATACTTCTTGTCATCATAATTCTTGCAATCATCTTCTTCATTTCTGGTTTGCTTCACTTACTTGTTAGATTCCTATTAAGGTCAATTACAACAACTTTTTCACCTTTAATAGTGTAGATCAATCTTTTATTGACACACTTCCTGTTTTCAATTACAAATTCATTATTGATGTAAAAGACCCTTTCGATTGTCTCATTCAGCTTACCCTCTTTGTAGAGATAGTCTTTAGAGAACTTGAAATCAATTTTTTGGAGTATGATCGGTTAGCCTAATGATAGTTTTGGTTCCTACCCATTTGATTTCCTGGATACAAGTTATATTGATCTTCCTTTTCTTAAGAATATTTACTAACTCGTTTGACCTCGCTATTAATATCGCTATGTTTTATAGACTCAACTCACAATCTAGAATCTCTCTTGATACTTTTACCATCCCTGTATCCCCAAACCCTAACCCTAATCGAGGAGACATTCTTAAACTACCATCGTACCCAAAAGCCACTAACATAGGTTATCGAAATAGAAACATCAAATAATAGAACAATTATGTTAACTTTATTAGGTAAGTGTAACAAAATATCAAAACAAGAACGATAGAACCTGAGTGTTGTCGATGATTGTCCAGACAATGTCGAAACCATTGAGCTCATCAAGAGGACGAGCAGATCGGAGGAATTAGGTTACCTCAAAACTCATCGCCGAAAAGAGTTTAATAAAAGGGTCTATCAATTTCACCTTCCAGTCAACTAGTAGAAGAACATAGAGGTAGAGAGAAAAAGGGAGAATGAGAGAGAAATAAAGAGGAGGAAGAGTCCTTACTAATTAAGCGAAATTCACTTTATTACCTTATTTTTCTAATTTTAATTAGAGCCGTCAATATGGGCTAGGCCTGTTGGGCCGACCTGGCCTAACCCGGGATTTAATAGGACTGGGCTAAAAATTTTGGAGCCCATTTAAAAAAAGGGCTTTTTAGCCCGGCCTGAATAAGCCTGTTGATTTGTGGGGCTTGAGAAATATAGGTAGGGCCGGCCCGTGGGCTAATACAAATTAATTAAAAAATATAATATAATATTAAAATTTAAAATTATAGAGATCCAAACTCAAAATCTATTTAAAGTTTTTTAGGAAATCACTAAGTATAGTAGTTGCATCCACCATGAAAATGTCCAAACACTTGTTGCTACTCGAAACTGGTTACATGGTTTTTCTCAAACTGGTAATATATTTTTGTGTACATTTAATATTATAATTCTCAATTTAGTTATTTTTAAATATTTAACTAATTGAAACCTCATATAAATTGCATATGAAAATGAAGATGTTAAGACAACCTTCCCACAAGTTGATTCAGATATGCTTGATGAAGATGATCATGAAGTTGTTAGATACGCCATAGGTTTCATGAAGTGTTAGATACGCCATAAGTTTCATGATTTTTTAAGGAGTTTATTTTTTACATTTTTATGGTTGGAATATTGTCATATTTTTTGTGTTTTATTGTAATCATTGCAAAACAGTTAGGTTAATATTTCTATTTAGATATTTATACTTTTACTTGAAAAAAACTTAATAAATATTATAAAGATAATTTTATTTGTGGATTTGATTAACAAGTAGTAACATTAACACCATGTAATATTGTTTTATTGATATTTATGATAATATTTTTAAATTATAATTTATAATTTAATTTAATAATTATAAAAAAATATATAACTTTTAAAAAAGTGGGTTGGCCCGACAAGCCTGTAGCCCACGTACTTGTGGGTTGGGCCGACCGTTTTCTGGCCCACACCAAAAATGGACTAGCCTGGCTTGACCTGTAAAATGTCAAAACCTATATGGGTTAGCCCGGATGGGGTGGGCTAGCCCATATTGACAGCTTTAATTTTAATACTCTCATATCTATGGTGTATGAGAATTTAATTATTATTAAGCCATTAACAAAAAAAAATCATTCAAATTACAATATATATATTTTTGGTATGTAGATGAATATTACACCATGTTGTGGTAGTTATTGCAACTGCGTACTTCATTATTATTTTTGAGTATTATAAAGAAATGTATTCTATGAAGAGATAATTATAAGTATCATTCAAATTGTTGGTTTTCATAGCCTGTTCCAAAGTGATGATATCATTTTCTAGTCTCTACCAAATGATAGCATCAATTGTAGATAAAGTCAAACTCTCCATAATGTTTATAAAGTCAAAGCTTTTGTTCTACGTTGGTCGAACTTTTTAAAAATATTAATGAATGCATGTTGAATTCTCCAAAAGATAGTGTATTTTTGGAGAATCCATATATACATAGGAAGGCTAACTTCCCAAACAGTCATCAACAACAACAACAACAAACCGTGAAATCGTAAGTGGGTTTTGGGGAAGGTAGAGTGTGCGCAGACCTTATCTCTACCTCGTGGAGGTAGATAGACTGTTTCCAAAAGACCCTAGGCTCAAGTGCATCAAACCAAAGTAAAAGAAGAAGACCGTTAATAAGAAAAACAGTATAAAGTCTACAAGAAAGACACAAAAACAACAACAAACACAATAAGCGACCTATGGCAAGAACTACAACGGTACGACTAATACTACGACAAAAACTAACAAGCTTAAACCTTCGGAAGGCATGACAACACTCCACCCCTAAACTTTCCAAGCAGTCAAAATGAAAACTATATAATCCACGAATTCATTTTTCCTATGTAATTATCCGCCCGATAAAGCAGCCCTACTTCTGCATCTAGTATTATGTTCTTGATGACTTGACATGATTAAATCAACATTACTATTCAAATAGTTAATTTTTTGCTGATTACATTACACATACTAATAGGTCTCATTTCAAAAAAAATGTTAAGAGGGGAATTCACTTTAGGAATGTACACAACAGCAAGACAGAGATTGAACTCAAGCATCAATATCTCACAAGACAAGTAAATATATCAACTATACACATACGTTAATTCCAAACAAAGTGAAGAGATAAATCGACTATCTTTAAAAAAACATGTTCACAACAACAAGACAGAGAATTAAAGGCAACGGTTCAGACTACAACATTTTATAAATATTCACAGCACTTCAAGCATAGCTTACAGAAAAGAAAACTACAATAAATAATACTATAGCTTCTTTCTAATAACTAACACTATTAGTTCGAATTACAATATTGTATATAGAGAAATACAAACAACTAAAATGTATCCGCCAACACTTGAACTTCTAGGAATGCTACTTTACTGTGCCTTCTAACGCCTTCCTAGTCCTTGATCGTTTTGCTTCTTCTAGACAATCACGAGTCCTTCACAAGTACAGCATCTAGATCAACCCTGTCTTCCTGGCCCTTGAGAGCCCTCTCACGCTGATCGTCTGGTTCCTTTGTTGCCAATGCTGAAGTTGTGCCATCACCTTTTTTGGCCTCGTCTTCCTTGTTCTTAGCAGGCCTCCCACGACCCTGTTGTTTCGGTTGCTCCAAATGCACCACATGTTGAGGATCCTCCTCTTTTTCCTTTTGCTGCTGCTTCTTTTGTGTATTTGACGAACTCCCCCTTCTCTTGCCCTTTACTTTTTTCTTTGGATTCGAGTTTTCACTGTCACCAGGAAGCGAAAACCGTCCTTCATCAATCATAACAATTTCCCCCCTTTCACACATGTTCTCTAGATGATGTTTCAGCATTGTCGTATGAGCCCTTGGCAAACTGTCATTATTCTTCGTGATAAACTCAGATATCGAGTCTTCATTAGAACCCTCTTCTTCGTCCAATTCCTGCAACGCCTTTTCAATCATCTATAACAAAACAAATCATTCGATTAGAATCATACGTTACATCATTAATCAACAAAATTCATAAGATCTAACCCCTCCTCAAAATTGAAATCTATAACCAAAAAACACATTTTTATCCAATAATCAACTCTAGTTTTGTTAAAAAATTCGAAAAAAGTAAATGAGATTAGTTAACTTTCTACAAATCAGTTAATTCTAAAAAAAAACACAAACTTTAGTGAAAAAATGAATTACCCAAGCGTAAGGAGGATGATCAGGGGTAGTCTGAAGACCAGACATTAAACGATCAAGGTGCTGTTCAAGAATCGAGTTCTGGGCCTCTGATAATGGCGCATTAGGTTCACTGTTGGACATTTTCACAATTCCTTCTCTCAATTTGTCCATGACTTTCTCCAGATTCTTCTTCTTCTACAGCAACTTAGAATTTTCAAAAGTTTTTTTTTGGTGTGTTGACAGATACATCATTTCTGGTGGTATTCCCTATTTATAGAATTTTTTTGGGCGGTTATGTTGAGAAATTTGATTTTTTTTTTTTGTCGTTTTGGGTGATGATTTATTTTTAAAAAAATATTTATTTTAAAAAAGACACCTCATGTATCATCTCAAAATAAAATCATTTAGTTGAAAAAAAAAAAAACCAAAAATATCTTTCATTTCCCGTTAAAACAGTTGAGAATTTGAATTTTTTTTTGTGGTTTTGGGAAATGGTTTTATTTTTTTTAAAAAAGACATTCGTTATTTGAAAATCATTTATTTGAAAAAAGACACTTCATTATTTGAAAATCATTTATTTGAAAAAAGACATTTCATTATTTGAAAATCATTTATTTGAGAAAAAAAATCTTCGATTTCTCATTAAAACAGCTGAAAATTTCTCCAAATAATGAAATAACACCAATCATTGATCTGTCAACTCATTAAAATACTTGCGAAAATTCTAATGTGCAATAGAAGTAACAAAATTAGAAGAATAATAAGGAGAAAGCCATGGAGAAATTGAGAAAAGGGATTGTGAAAATGTCCAATACTGATCCCAATGCGCGCCATTATCAGAGACCCAAAACTCGATTCTTCAACAACACCTTGATCGTTTTATGTCTGGTCTTCGGACTACCCCCGATCATCCTTCTTACGCTTGGGTAATTCATCTTTTCACTAAAGTTTGTGTTTTTTTTTGTTAGAATTAACTGATTTGTAGCCCCATTTATCTTCTTTTTTCCCCCTAATTTTTGATAAAATTAGGGTTGATTATTGGATAAAAATGAGTTCTTTGGTTATAGATTTCATTTTGAGGAAGGGTTACCTCTTCTCAATTTGGTTGATAAGTGATGTAACTTAAGATCCTTGTGGCCAGGCCTTGTGAGGTTATAGTCTAATCCAATCCTTTCTTTTGTTATAGATGATTGAAAAGGCGTTGTAGGAATTAGATGAAGAAATGGGGTTCCAATAAAGACTCGATATCTAGTTTATCAAGACAGAGTATGACAGTTTGCCAAATGGCTCATATGACCCTCTACTAAAACATCATTCGCAGAAGATGTGTGAAAAGGGAGAAGTACTTATGACTGATGGAGGACGGTTTTTGCTTTCAGCTAACAACAAAAACTTGAATCCAAAGAGAAAAGGTAAGAGCAAGAGAAGGGGGAAGTCATACACAAAAGAAGTCCCAACAAAAGTAAAAGGATCCCCGACATGAGGTGCATTTGGAGCAACCAATAAAACAACGCCGTGGGAGGCTTGCTAAGTACAAGGAGGATGGGGCTAAAATAAATGATGATATAATTTCAGCATTGGCAACAAAGGAACCCATAGATCAACGTCGTGAGAAGGCTCTCAAGGGCCAGGAAGACGGGCTGATCCAGATACCACACTGATAAAGGACTTGAGATTATCTTAGTAGAAACAAAACGATCTAGGGCTAGCGGAAGATATAGGAAGGGACAGTAAAGCAAGGATTGTAGTTCTTTGTATTTTTCATTATGATTAATTGTTGTAACTGGTTTGTATAATGTTTTACTTCATCCATCAATTCTTTTCCTATAAAAAATAGGATTAATTGTAGTTTATCACATGGGTTTGTTGAAAAAAATAAATTCTTGGATTATAGTTTCATTTTGAGTGCTTAGAAATGGATCATTCTTGATAATCCAAAATTTCATTCTTCATTTCTTATCTTGTCTTCATAACTATCCCTCATCATCATCCTTATATATATTTGGGTAACTCATCTCTTCATGTAATTTTTTTTTTATGTTTCATTATGATAAATTGTTGTAAGTGATTTGAATGGAATTTTACTTCATCCTTAATCTTATTTTGAAAAAATAAATTAGGGTTGATTGAGGAAATTATACATGCATCTTAGATACAACAATCAATGTAACCTCACAAGTGGGGTTTAGTGATGACATAATATAGCATTCATTTACCTCTATCTTTGAGGGGTATATAAGTTATTTTAGATAAACTCTAGTCTAAAAAATGTAACCAACACATGAAAGTAAGAAGGAAAAAAGACAACAAAATAAAAATGTATAAATAAGTAGGCGTTTGGCCATGCGATACCATATCATGATATGGTATCGTGAGATGGAATCAGCGTATGGACATGCAATTTTACGCTGATCCATCTCATGATTTCATATCATGAGATATGATTCCATATTCTCCAAAAACCATGATATGAAATTATATGGTAATTCCATATCATGATTTGAGATATTTTTAATACAAAAATTGATCCACAAGTTTATACTTTGTTAAAACAACCCCAAATTTATATCTACTAACCATTTATTTCATATGTAAACAAAATTTATAATCACATCATTACTTTTTAAAATTTATTATTCTCACCGACATAAAATTTATTATTGTTACCAACTTATAGTCACTTTAACTCACACCAACCGATTGTTAAAATGATAAAATATTTATGGTCTATGAGCATGAAATTATAGTTGCGGATGATATTGACCAACAAATGGTTCAAAGTAACAATGTTGGTTCGTCTTTTTGGTCACATGATCGAGAAATGCAAGTTCAATGTGAGAAAATTGTCTGTATTATGTGGGAGGATTATATTAAAGACTAGTACACAACAATTTATGTTCAATTTTAAAAAAAATTAAATTAAAGTTAGATGAAACAATTACTTAAGTGGAGAACAAATAGCTTTGTAATAATTTATTATGCAATTTTATAAATTTTTGTTTATTTGATAAGATTGAATAAACAATTGGGGCTATTTTAATAGTTTTACAACTTATGGATTTTTATGTTTATGAGAAAATATACAACACAAATATTCCATTTCGCATGTCCAAAACAGCTTGAATATGTTTTTCAATCTGCACTTGCGTATCAATAACGGCCGATGAGGGAGGCTCCAGAAGAAGAAGAAGCGGACGGAGACTCCGAGGGCTAGCAACTTCAATTTCATCTCATGATTCTATATCATGATACCATATCGCATGGCCAAACGGGCCCTAAGTGTAGCAACAAATATTAATGCACATTGAAGAAAAGAAAAACTACGCAATACCTAAATCATGAAGTAGGAAAACACTCAACTATCTACTAGCTTTCTACCCTAATCATCGATCATCATACCTCTTTATCTAAGGTCATGTCCTTAGCTAATTGAAGTTGTATCATGTCCTGTCAAATTACTCCCTTAATTCCTTTTCAACCTACATATACCTCGCCTAACTCCTACTACGTACAACCAACCTCTTATACATCCTCACACTTCCTATTCTTATGGAGGCTACTTACCCCTTGTGTAGTATAACTTCATTCTAATCATATCTCTCTTAGTATGTCCACATATCCATTTGAGCATTTTCATTTCCACTGCCTTCATCTGCCTTATACTATAGTGTTAGTCTAACCGACATACTATATAACTTAGCTTTAAGCCTTATTGACATATTTTTATCGCATAGTATACTAAAGGTGAACCCTTATTTTATCCACCCCATTCCAATACGATGTATGACATCATCGTCAATCAACCTGTCTCCTTAAATTATAGACCGAAGATATTTAAAATCTTGAGTATGACTAGTGCATCAATCTTCACTTTCATTTCCACCTCAAGGGTTATCACTAAACTTGCACTCCATGTACAATCAATTCGATGCAATTTAATTCAGAATATCTAATAGAAACATCAAACAATAAAACAAGAATACTAAAATAACTATACAAGAGTAACAGCATATCAAAATTAAATATCAAAACAAGAACGATAGAACCTGGGTGTAATCGAAGGTCGTCTAGATGATGAGGAATGATCATACGATGTAAAAATCATTGAAGCTCATCAAGCAGGTGGATCGAAGGAACTAGGTCACCCCAAAATTCATCGTAAAAAAGGTTTCATTTTACCGTACATGTTGCTTTGCAGATGCAAAACACACACAGAAAGAGATAAATCGAAAGAAGTAAAAGGGGGATCTACGATGATTGACTCCAACCAACAAGTAGAAGAAGGGATCGGAGGGATAGAGATAAAAAGAGGGAGGGGGGGGGGGAGAGAGAGAGAGATGGGGAGATAGGGAGAGAAACAAATAGAAGAAAGAGCCCTTATTAAGCGAAATTCACTTTATTGTCGTATATTCTAATTTTAATGCCCTCATATCTCTACGTATGTAAATTCATTCATTAGTAAGATATTAATAAATAATGATCATTCAAATTACAATATATGTTTTGGGTTGATGGATATAGACCATGTTGTGGTATTAATTGCAATTCCGTAATTATTTCCACCACACGGGTTATCACTGAACTTGCACTCCATGTATAATCAATTCGATGCAATTTAATTCAGATTATCTAATAGAAACATCAAACAATAAAACAAGAATACTAAATAACTATGCAAGAGTAACAAAATATCAAAATAAGATATCAAAACAAGAATAATAGAACCTGAGTGTAATCGAGGGCCTTCCAGATGATAAGGAATGATCAGACGATGTCAAAATCATCGAAGCTCATCAAGCGGGTGGATCGAAGGAACTAGGTCACCCCAAAATTCATCGTCAAAAAGGGCTTCATTTTACTGTACGCGTTGCTTTGCAGATGCAAAACACACACATACACAAAGCGATAAAAGAGGAAAGAGATAGATCGAAAGAAGTAAAGGGGCGATCTACGATGATTGACTCCAACCAACAAGTAGAAGAAGTGAAGGGATAGAGATAATGAAAGGGAGGGGGGGAGAGAGTGAGAGGGGGGGGGGAGATGGGGAGATAAGGAGAGAAATAAATAGAAGAAAGAGCCCTTATTAAGCGAAATTCATTTTATTGTCGTTTATTCTAATTTTAATGCCCTCATATCTCTGGGTATGTAAATTCATTCATTATTAAGATATT